ATATATTTTACATTTTTTGATTTCAGCCAAACTAAAAGAAATAAGACTTTCTCCAAAAGAAACAAAATAATATATAATCATAAATACTTTAATACTAAAATACTAAAAGTAATTTAAACATTGTCATTTAATAAAAACTAATTTTAAAAATGTTTTACATTTCAGAGGGCTTTAATTTTGTTTTCAACTGCAAGTAAGGTAAAATAAAGTAAGGCAAGTAAAGTATTTAAGGAAAAAAGGAAAGGAGGTAAAATAAATTGAGTAGGTAAATGCAACTGACCTAAAAAAAGCAGAAATTAGGCAATATCTTATTGGTATCACCGTTGTTTCTGCAGCTGTGTTTTTCTTTTGTTGCAGATTTGCACTGATATCCGTCTGCTGGCTAATCTAAAAGAGATTGAGGAGCCGTTTGAGAAAGAGCAAATTGGTGAGTCTGTATGTGAGAGACAGAGTGTTGATCATATAATAAAACCTCTTTTCTAATATGTCTCATTTTTTATCCGTCTCCAGGTTCCAGTGCCATGCCATACAAGAGGAACCCCATGCGTGCGGAGCGCTGCTGCAGTCTGGCCCGCCACCTGATGGCGCTGGTGTCCAATCCATTGCAGACGGCAGCAGTGCAGTGGCTGGAAAGAACGCTGGACGACAGCGCTAACAGGCACTGCTCTCACCGTTTAATGTGAAAATGTCACTTTAGGATCTTGTCTCAACTTTTTGATTTTGTGTGCATTTAGGAGGATCTCCTTGCCTGAGGCCTTTCTTACAGCTGATATCATCCTCAGCACACTGCAGAACATCACTGAAGGCCTGGTGGTCTATCCTAAGGTGAGTGTGTGTAACTCTTAGTAAAGGTTTTGTTTTTCAGCTAATATTCAAATTTATTTGTATTAGCAATTATAGATTTAGATCTTTGATAAACTATGCTGTATGATTAATTGCATAAACACTACTATTCCAATATTTTTATGCTCTTCAAGATTTCAGTTTATTTTAAATTCAGTGAAACGGTAATCTTGTGTGAGTTGTTATTACTTTTTATTCTATTATAAATCTATTTTACTATATTTAAATGTAATTTCTGCACTGACTAAGCTGAGGTTTTAGCATCATTACTCCAGTCTTGTGTTGTGTGGTCTTCTAGAAATCATTTCGATTTACTACATTTTTTAATTATTACATTTAAAAACACTTGTAGTGCTTAATATTTTTGTTGAAATCATGATGCTTTTTTTTTTTTGGAGAAAGGTTTTGGAAGGACAGCATTTATTGTCATTTTTGTAACAGTATATGTAAAGCTCTTTGTATCATAATTTAGTAAAGCTTTCTGGTGTTATATATGGTCATCTATTGTTAACATTTTTAAAATGTTAAGAATTGATTTGAATACTATGGTTGAATTTTTAAAGTTTTGGTAAACTATCCCTTTAATGGCATTTAAACTATAAAAAATTCTCTAATGAAAAGAATTTATCATTTATGTACATTTTACTTCATTTCTATACATTTTATAATTCATCACATTACATTGACAACTCTGTTATGCTTACTTCACTATATTTTTTCTCACTTTTTATAGGTGATTGAGAGGCACATCCGTCACGAGCTGCCCTTCATGGCTACTGAAAACATTATCATGGCCATGGTGAAGGCTGGAGGAAACAGACAGGTCAGAATAAATGCCATTAAAATAATAACCAACATTTTCTGAGATTTCAACACGTGTTTGTGTTGCTCATCTTTTTTTTTTCAATCTTTTTTTCTTCCCACACCAAAGAGTAACTTGGTTTACTCAAAAAAAAATGTAAAAATCAACGTCACTTCTACAAGTTGTGATATTGCAAGTGACCAGTAATCAATGCTGGTTTGTCATAATTATTTGAGAGTGTGCCTATCTTTGTCACTTGACTTAATTATTTATGAGATCAGATATTTTAGAAATCTTAATGCCAGAATTCACAATGGCATCCACAGATTAAAGTAATAAGTTACCTCAAAGTTTAAATTTGCTGGCAGCACGGTGGTGCAGTGGGTATCACTGTTGCCTCACAGCCCTGGCTTGGTCAGTTGGCATTTCTGTGCGGAGTTTGCATGTTTTCCCTATGTTCACGTTGGTTTCCTCTGGGTGCTCCGGTTTCCTCTACAGTCCAAAGGCATGACCTATAGGTGAATTGAACAAGCAAAATTAGCCATAGTGTATTTGTGTGAATGTGAGAGTGTATGGACCAGTGCATAAAACGTGTGCTGCATAAGTTGACGGTTCATTCCGCTGTGGCAACCCCTGATAAATAAAGGGACAAAGCCGAAAAGAAAATGTAAATTTACAGTTTTATTACTGACCCTTAAGCAATTGAAGATGTAGCTGATGTTTTTTCTTTAGTAGAACATTAACGAAGATTGTTTAGCTGAATCCATTGTCCTTGGTGATTTTGTATAATGCAAGTCAATTAAATAATATTGTAAATAATGTTATATTTCTTAAACCAATTGTTTACTTAATAAGGCCTCAGTATATCATCCGGAGCCACATGGATTGATTTAGACTTGTATAAATGTTTATATTTAATCTCAAATACGAACCATTGACTTACACTAACTGAATCACTAAGGACCACTGATTAACCTAGACATCTTCTTTACTTAACAAAATCTGAGGGTGAATTAACTGTAGATTAGTATTTTTGGGTTAACTATCCCTTTAAGTAGTGTCTTTTTTCATCTTGTTTGGAACCTGATTGTATCATTAATAACTGATGTTGTTGTCTTTGCTGCAAACACTCAGGACTGCCATGAGAAGATCCGTGTGCTGTCCCAGCAAGCTGCAGCCGTAGTCAAACAGGAAGGAGGAGATAATGACCTCTTGGCTCGGGTTCAAGCTGATCCATATTTCGCCCCTATATTAGGAGAGCTGGATGCCTTACTGGACCCCAAAACCTTCATCGGCCGAGCTCCACAACAGGTACACACACATGCACACTAGACATGCCGATTCATCATACTACATGTTATCACATGATTATTATCAATAATGTTTTATGAATTAGATGGGCTGTAATCCTCTTCCCATTGCTGTGTCTTTCTCAGGTTACTAGGTTTTTGTCTGAGGAGGTCAGGCCTGTTCTAGAGCCATACAAAAGTAAAATGGATGTGAAGATTGAACTGGAGCTCTGAAGCGCACATGACTGTATGACTGACACATCAGAACTGTATGACAATGAATAAATGTCAATCTGTCAAAACTTTTTGTGAGCTTTTGTTTTTTTCAAAGTTGCATTAATCAACATTTAATTTTCTAAGATGAATTGTGGTAATAATAGTAATAGTTATTTGCTTGGGTACTGCGATGATTTATTTTACACCCATCAGAAATGTTCTAATTTCAGAAAAGTTTTAGCTGAAGCTGTAATGATTCATAAATGCAAGTCAACAGCTGCTGGCACTTTAAGAGTCAAATAAATCTACAGCATCTAGGCAAAACAAAATGAATGTTATGGTGTTATAAAGTTGAATATGTATTTTTAACTTTAAATCATTTGTAGGCCTTAAAGTAAAATTGCAGGCCTTAAGGTCTTAATTTCACTGAAATATTGTGTTGTAGGTTTAAATCATTTTGAACTGGTCTTGTCCAATATTGAAGTAAAGCTACCCAATCTGAGACACCGAATCACCAATAATTCATTTTTACAGATAATAATTACTTTCCATAATTATAGAAAGAAAAGCAGCATCCCTTTACATTATCCTCAATAAATAAAACTAATATTTACAGAAGTATTAGAAAAATATATTTAGTTAAATCTTTTAAGTTAAGTTTTTAGTTTATCCATGTTTAAGTCTAAAATCATTCATAATGGTCTTAAAATGGTCTTAAAGTCTTTAATTTGAATAAACCTGTAGAAACCCTGTTAAATGTTTTACTATTTTTGGACATAGATTTGAATGTTTGTTTTTTTTGGGCCCTAATTTGTGTTTATATTAAACATTGGTGAAATGTCCCAAAGAGTGCCATCACAATAAATAAAGTATGTTATCAAATTGATTGTACTAGTAATACTATAGTGTGCTTAAATACATTTATCACAGCATTTTGAGGTACTTCAAATAAAACCTTGGTATTACTATGCCATTAACATGTTGAAGCTGTATATTTCAAATCAAAAAGGCATTTTTAAAGATAATGCGCTAAAAAGCTCTCTGAATTAACTGCTACATACAACATTGTAATCAATGCACTAAAACACTTGCACTAGGCTCCTCACTAATAAAACTGCAGTTAATTTTCAGAGGGGTGCATGTCAACTTATGTTGGCCCACATGGAATCTGCACACAGAAATCTGTTTTTTATCCCATTGAATTTTGTTTTTATTTACTTGCATAAATGTGTAAATATTGTTCAGTTTTTATATTAACGTCAGTAATATTATTGACAAATTGCTAATGTTTATGATTCACCTGTAATGCAGTTTGTGAAGTAATATTTTCTCTTTAGTAGGCTAGATATATTACAAGAGAGACTTTTGTTTACCAAATAAGTGGTTAAAATTGAATTTACTTTGTAAACTGTTTTAGGTATTGTTCTTTTTCAAAATTTATTATTTCATGCTTGTAGTTGCTTTTATGCTACTTTCTTTTTTTAGTTAGCTTGCAAGATTTATACACAGATTCTGGCTGGTGCTACTTTATGAGTTATTTACCTATTGACGTAATAATGAACGTATAAAAGGTCTTTCTGTTACCGTGACACTTAATGGCGTACTGTAATAATGAGGAGGAGACTATCAAATGACAGATAAGCTGTTGTGGCAAAATCTATCATGACAAAGTAAAAAGGCAAAACGTGATATATGGAAGAGTGTGGTAAGTCTACAAACACATACACATCCTTCTAAACGGCTTATCATATGGTTATAAATCAATAATGCTAGCGCAAAGTCCACAGTCACCATGAAACCTGTAAATGACTTTCAATTGAATCAGGTTGGCCTGTTCTCGTCTTTTTTTCACTCAATAACAGGATTAATTTGTCCACAGGTGCTCCAGCTCGATTCGTCCCATGGTGAGAGTCATTTCATCCGTTAACTTTTTCGACAAATAACATAATTTAGCTTTTTTCAAACTGACGGTAGTAACCACGCTTTTTTGGCCTAACATCGTTACCATATAAGGTAATTATTTATAGTAACGTAAGTACCACGGTTAGTCTAGAAAACTACAGTAACTACAGTTTTAGTTTTAATTGTTTTGTAAATGATGCATTTTCATAATGGCTCTTTTAAAGTTAGACTTTTGATTTGTAGCATGTTCTTGTCTGGTTGCATTCATGAAGTGCGTTATTTCATCTCGTTTGACTGATATAGTTGATAAAGGTTTTTGAGTTTTATAATTTCTCCAAAAGAAGGAAATGCACTTGTTTATATCAGCATTATGTTAATAAGAAGGGTACTGTTTTGCAATTGAGGCGTTTGTTTTCTTCAAGATGGATTTATTTGATATTATTAATGCTGAAGGTAATGGTGGTGCTTAATATTTTTGAGGAAGTCAGATACTTTTAAATATTTTTTTTTTTATACTGCAACTATTCTTTAAAGCCTATTGCAATTATTTATAATTTTAATAAACAAAAACTGACCCCAAAGTGTAATTTAGTTTGCTATATAGAGATCTGCTTTCTTGAGAGAGTTCTGAATCTTGTGAAGTGGTTGAGTTTGATCTCTGTGCTTGCAAAAAAAAAATTGTGTAAGCATGTTAAAATCAGATGGAAAGCACATGGAATCAAAAACACATACATGAAGTATGTGGATATGAAACATTTTTATTTCACTTTTTTGTGTTTCATGTAATGAAATGTAATGGGTGAATTCATATAGCGCAATTACCGTGTATGGCCATACACCCAAATCGCTTCACAATCATGGGGGGAGGGGGGAGGGGTCATTTACACTGAATTTTACTTATTTAAAAATAAATGTAATGAAAACTGTTACAGAATTTTAAACTTTGGTGGTAGGGAATAGTATCCTCAAGGGTAATGAAGCGTTCATAAAAGAAGCCAAAGCGTCAAGAAGAATGTCATTCTATGACACTGGCCTGGGAAAATAATACACGGGAAAGAGAATAATATTAAACCCCAGTGAAGCAATAAACTTTCATCTTTAGTATTTCAAAAAAACTGGCAGACATGCTGCTTGGAAAAATGCTGCCAGAAAATTTAGTTTTGAGGCTTTAATACCCAAGATGTACAGAATCAAATACCTGTATCATTAAAGGTCAATTACACAACCACAAGTGCATTGACAAAAATGTGCTAACTTAATGGTGGGGTTGTAAACATATAAGTAAATACTTTCTTTAGTTCATAATACATGATGAATGAAGTAATTATTATTAGTTATTAAGTTCACGTGTTTCGCCTTATTTACAAAAGGTATTTCTTCATAATGGCATTGTTATGTTTTCATTTTAATTTCAAAGAACTGCATGTAATGTGAATTAAGTTGAAAAAAAGACTTTGAAAATGAAGACTTTGTTCATTATATGGCAATAAACATGATCGCATACATAAAGAATGAGACACATGGTCTTTGTACAGGTGATCTGATTGGTTCATCATGTGGGCATGGGCATTGCTTCCTGTCTTTTTGGCAGTCTTTGGGACTGTGGGCCTTTGGGCTGTGTGAGTGTTTTTTTTTTTTACTTTCTGTTATTCTTTTCTTTCTGTATGTATTTATTTATTAAGTTGACTGTTTTTTGTATTTATTTGTGTGCAGGTATGCCATAGCAGTTTCTAATAACTCTGTTAATATAACTATAGAGTTCCCTTACATCAGGTATGTACCTTTAAAATAGGCTATTTATTTATTTATTTTATTATTATATATTTTTAAAATGGTCAGTGTCCTCATTTGACCGTAAGTTGAGGTTAAAGCCACTCACCAAACCTTTATCTGTTTTGATTTGTCTCAAGTTATTCCTTTCTGGATTTTTTCTATTCTAATATTATTCTATTCTATTATTATATATTTTTTTATTATTCCTAATAGGGCAATTGTATTCTAATCACTATCAGTTCTCCAGCTAAAATTCCCCTGCCTGATTGCAAAATATAAATACAACATCAAAAGAGCTCCCTAAAGAATTGTTTCTGTAAGACATTCCAGAGCGATAAAATTGAGATTTTTACATTGAAAATCCATGCATATTTTCATTCCTCCAGCACATGTGGTGCATACACCCCCCAGAGCTGCCTGTTTGCTCAGATATGCAACATTTGCTGTGTGTTAGGTAAGTCCTCATTTAAAAAATAGTTACAGACCCTCTGATCTGGTACATTTTTTCACAACTATTTTCTTTTTTTCTTTAGCTCTGTGGATTGTCGTGATCAGATTTCAGCAGATCAGTGATTTGGGCCGTTCATCTCATTTAAACACAGCTGGTCTGGTGCTTGGCTTCATCTCTAGCATTGGGATTTCAATTCTAGGAAACTTTCAGGTACAGTATATAGTGGACAAATAGATGCTACATGACTACTAACAATTTGTGCTGCTTGGAATCATAAACCACACCATGTGTGTTCATTTGGCCTGAGGAGAATGAATGATATCCCTTAATGAATATTGTTTCTGACAAAGTTTGTTCTTTTCTGCCACCTGATGGAGATTGGGTTTCAGCAACTGTTGTCTATGCTTTGCTCAGTTATTAGAAAAAATTTAGTTTGTGGTTAAACTATTAACCAGGCTATGTGCATGACCCTATTTCAAACCATTGAGTCCTACCCCGCACCTTAAGTTAACAGCACCATACTAAGAATTTATAAAAAGAAAATGAGATGTTTTTGACCAGAGAATGTATGACTAAAAGTGTATTTGATCTAGTCATTATACACATTATAACTACTTAGTCATTATTGTCAATCCAAATGTATATGACGTTCTTTCTTCTGTGTTTCACAAATGAAGATGTTTGTTGGTAACCAATTTTGGTTCCTCAAGAAAGTGATTGGGAATCTGAAGTTTTGTTCTTACAATATATTTTTTACATTTATGTTTCATAAACAAACAAATATGACCCGTCACTTGCTGAGGGTGGCATGATACACATGTGAAAAGGCTGGAAAAGTGCTGTTATCCAAGAATACTGCACAAATTTAAGCCAATCAGATTTGAGAACCAGAAAGAACTGTTGTATAAATGATGTTATGCATGCTTGCCACATGAGTAAACATTCTACTGAATGTTTAACTCTACTGAATTCTACTGAAAAGCTACTCATCAATGAATTTGCTCTTCAGTCTTTGGACTCTCAATAATGACTTCAAACCACACTGAACTGAGCTAAACTGAACTGAACTTAAACACTAAAAACTGAACTACCCTGATCCAGTTACTATGACCATTTATGTGAAGCTGCTTTCACACAATCTACATTGTAAAAGCGCTATAAAAATAAAGCTGAATTGAAATTGAATTGAATTGAAGGTTATAGTGGACTTGCAGTATCCACCCTGTCTAATGTTTCTGACGTCACTGTTTCAAACCACAACAACATCAAACACCCAGAAAATGAATTCCTTATTTTCTATTGTGAACCCTTTGTCAATTTGTTTTTGTCTTAAGCAAAGTTAATTTGGTTCTTATAAATCAGTGAATATGTCAGTATGACAATTTCAGTTTTGTGTAAATCTCTATATAGTAAGTATATAAGACATTCAGGGTATATGTCGGCAGCGGGATGCTTGAGTGTTTTTTGTGCACAAAAAACTATTTCCTTAACTTCATAACATTATGATTGAACCATTAAAGACACATTAACCACTTTAGATTTAGTTTGAAGGTCTTACTATCTATGGAGAGTCAGAGAGCTCTTAGATTTTATCAAAAGTAAATTATTAAATAAAAGTATCTTAAAGGTTCAGTTCACCCCAAAAAAATTATTCCATTAATTACAGACCCTGATGACATTTTAATCACTTTAGACCTTCTTTCATCTTTGGAACAATTAAATTAAATTCATGCTTATTTCTATAGCGCTTTTACATTGTAGATTGTGTCAAAGCAGCTTAACATAAAAGTTCTAGTAAATTGAAACTGTCAGTCCAGTTTTCAGACTTAAAGTTCAGTTTAGTGTGGTTTAATGTTTACTGCTGAAAGTCCAAACACTGAAGAGCAAATCCATCTATGCTCAGCTCCACAAGTCCCAACCATGCAAGACAGTGCAAGGAACAAACTTCACCAATTGACGAAAGTGAAGGGAAAAAATCTTTGAGAAAAACTCAGTTGGGCATGACCATTTCTCCTCCGGCCAGACTTCTTGTGCACAGCTGTAGTCTAGGCGCTGGAGGCTGCAGAACGCTGGACAAATTAAAATGTCTTTTGGGAAGTTTTCCCAGCTGTTTGCCCTAAATAATGCAGACTAACAATCTTTTTGATTTGATTTCAAAAGCATTTGTGTTTTATGTGCATGCTACGAGATAGTAACGCATTACAATAGTCTAACACAAGTTAAGATATTTTGATGAAATCCGAGAACTTTCTCACCCTCAATACATGACTGACAATGACTTTGATAAATGTGCATACTTAAAAATATATTAAAAACTGTCATTAATTTAAGATGCTGATGACAGGTAAACACACCTTAACATGCTTTTGAAAAGGGTCTATTGTGTTTTTAAAATTCTAATTTATTATGTAATTTGAAGTATCCATCATTGATCTTTTTGTTTTTTTACTGTTTATAACTGTGACAGTCCTGTACATTTGTATGTTCTATTACAATAGATGAATTTATATGATATGTGTGTCCATTTAGCAAACCATAATCCAAGAGGTTCATCTGCTAGGAGCACTCATGGCCTTCTTTCTGGGTTTAGCATACTTTTGGATCCAGGCCTTTATTACATATTTCAGCCCTCCATCACGTGACAATAAGTGGTTGGTTCCAGTGCGGTTCGTCCTCTGCAGCCAGTGTACTTGTATGGTCATCTGCAGTATCCTTCGGTTCCGTGATAAAATTTCCTAATCACTGAAATGAGTTCTGAAATGAGTTGTGTGTTGTCCTTAACTCTGTCTTCTCAGTGTTTGTCCTCCACAGCACAGGGTTTCGCTCTGCAGCTGCTATATGCGAGTGGATTCTGGTCATGTGTTTTTTTGCGCTGTTTGGGGTTTTTGCAGCAGAGTTCAGACACATTGACTTCCACAAGCTCACTGTACAAAAGGAGGGATTAAAAGTTGCTAATAATGATAATGTTGTGTGGACAGTACAGGACGTTCAGTGAAGAAGAGCTGGCAAGTTTTGGCTTTGGTAATTGGAAACATACACACACTCACACAAGAAACAAAGTGTTATGACATTGAACTGTAACCTGCATGACTTTGCTAAATTCATAATTACAAACAACACTCCAATTTTATACCATATTACATAAACAAATCAGTTATATGAGAATCTTGCACTGAATTCTTGTGTATATTTTCATATTGTTGTATTGATATGTTCCTTCAAAAGTTAGAATGGTATATAATGTTGAGAGAATGAGACATTTTTTTGTTTTAGCTGTGTTGTATTGTATTTGGTTGTACAACAAACTAACCTCATCCTGGAGTTATTTTGTAGCCTTAATTATTTGTTTGCATGATGTCATTAAATATATTGTTCAAAGTGTATAATTTATCTGGACATTATCAAAGAAAACTGTAAATGCTTCAATTATGAAAAGGTGTGTAAGAAACTGGATAATATTTACACCACTATAACTTTTAACATGTGTGCTTGCATTAACACATTTGGTATTTATACACGTTTCAGACGTTAAACACACCGCTGTTTAAAGAGGCTTCGAATAAAAGGAAATAATGCTGTAAATAATGTTTATTGTCAGGAGCCAGGGGTATTACAGTACTTTAGCTTTGTCTGTGGGCCTATGTTTTTGTTTTTGTAATCTCAAAGTGGCGGTAGCCATTAAATTGCATTTTTGAACCAGTGACCTAATAAAAAATGCTTTACTTCAGAAAACACACCTATATCTAGGGCAAAATAAAATCTACTAATGGCCTACTATGAAATAATACTTTACTAACTGTATTGTAAATAAATCATTTGAACATTTTAATATTATATTGCCATTACTATTGCACAATGAAATTTGTAAAATTAATCAAAAAAACGAATAAATGTAAATTTACACACATTACACAAGGAAATACATTGACTCAATGATGGGCTAAAAATCTGAGGAAATCTACGGATCTCTGTGCGCGCAGATTCCGTGTGGCCCTTTTATTTAATGACCTGAGGATCATTACCATCAAATTTAATTTTTGGGTTAACTATCCTTTAACATTTTCAGTAGTGGGCCTACAATTTATCGAGGGTGTATACAAGGTTTTGTAGGAATAGTTCACACAAAAATGTATTTTCATCTTTTACTCACCCTTGACTCCAAATCAGTTGCTCGTTTTCTTTATTCAAAATATCTACTTTGTGATAAAGAAATTAAATAAACATAAAGGGTTGGCACCACTTGAGAGTAGCTTAACTTTGGGGTGAACTGTCCTTTTATTAAGTGATTTTTAGGTGTTTACCGGCCCTTTTGTTATTTTATTTATGGCTCGGGTTAGTACAAATAAAAAGTTAAAATTTTCTCAACATCGTTTAATCGACCCATCAGCTTTCAAGCATCCTAAAGTCACAAAAACGTAAAGTTCTTATAGCAAAAGCTGCAATATGCGATTATAATTAATATGCGATTTTATTTAATTTTTTTATTTGCGATATTAAATAACAAACGACGTGACCTGAACACGTAATGAGAGCGCATGTACAGAAAGCAAACACCAGAGGGCGCTATAGGCCCGAGGTAATCCTATATATTTATGTGACACTCGTGTGCATGTTTTCAGCTCACAGGTAAGTGTGCATAGTCTTTCTTTGCAGATTTAAATATTACAAAAATAGTGTAGGTTTAATATGAAATTGAGAAATATTGTATAGCTCTTAGTTTACTCATAGACCGACTCACGAATGGCACAAGCTGGCCTGATGTAATATAAGCCAATCAAAACAAGCTTGTGAATTTGGACCCAACTGATTTGGAACTAATATTTGGATGGGAAAGCACATGAGAGGAGTTTGTGCGTCTCACGATGACATTCTTTCACATACACATTGCTCTCAACGGGTGGGGAAAAACGCAGAGAACAAAAAAGGAGAGAGAGGGACACAAGGGGGCAAATGAAGGCAACTTGAAGGCATGTTGAAAAGTCCTGGGAATGAGATTCTTCTTTCTATTTTCTATTTTAATATCTTTTTATGATCAGTGTTTTTTTTTACATTCAATTTGCTTTGAATTTCTGCTTGTTTTGTGTATTTTTTGGGAACAGGGTCATTGCGGTCATGTAAACATGGTCGTACTGCGTGCTGGGTTTAATACAGTAGCATACAGCTGGTGTGTAATTCAAAACCAGTGATGAATGTAGGGTAAAACAAACGTTGAAGTCACTAATAGATTGTAAAAATGGAATCTCATGGATTAAAATATTGCTTTTTATTGAATAATATTAAGGGTGACTCGTGGCTGCACTGTCGACTCACAACAAAAAGGTCGCTGGTTCAAGTCCCGTCTGGGTCAGTTGACATTTCTGGGTGGAGTTTGCATGTTCACACCATTTTTGCGTGGGTTTACCTGGGTGCTCTGGTTTTCCCCACAGTCCAAACACATATGCTTTAGGTGAATTAAAAAAACTTAATTGGCTGTAGTGTATGGATGTTTCCTAGTACTGGGTTGCAGCTGGAAGGGCATCCTCTGTGTTAAACATATGCTGGATAAGTTCATTCTGCTGTGGCGACCCCTGATGAATAAAGGGACTAAGACAAAAAGAAAATGATTGAATGAATAATAACAATTGCTTTTTTAATATTGAAGAAGTTTGGCAAGATTCACATCTGAACAACACAGATTAAGCTCATGCAACGCTAAAGCAAAAGCACATCTGTGGTTTGAATCTTTTACGGAATTGTTAATTGGTTATATTTAAATTGTATTCCATATATTATTTGTTCAAGGGAAATTTTATGCGACCAATTTCTTTTATTCAGCCCGAAAGTGTCTCACATTTGCCATCTTTATCCTTATGAAATTTACACATGGCATCTCTGTGACCTTTTAACAGACATTTAATTCAGAGGCGAAGTCAAAGGGCTCTGGTGTTAAGATATGGGCTATGTGCTGTTTGGCTAAAGGGCATCAGGTCTGGCCGACTCTTATGTAATACCTCTGTATGGCTGTATCAAGCATGCATTTGCTCTATCTTTGTTTTTAAAGCGCAGCAGGCCTCAAATCCACTGTGCCTTTCACCTTGACTGTAATCTTCATTCACGCCTGCGTTATTCCAGATTATTCTTATCCCTGCTGGGCAACAATAGCAGTAGCCTACTATCTGCAAAGCAAACGGCCTGCCTGCCACCTCATACATGCATCGCTTATCAGCAAACAGCCAAATCCTGCCTAGAGAGAGCGAGTGTACGGAAGAAAGCGAGTCGGTTCGTCAAGTTTAACATGTTCCAGCTATGAGGGCGTGAGGCATAAAATCTGATTTAGCCCTAAAAACCTTAATCTCCTCGATCCATAATCTAACAGGTCTGGAATTCCCCCAGCTGTTAGGAAAGAGGGAGCGAGGGGGCAAAAGCTGTGTCGCTGTATCCAGCGAGTGGGCATCTTCCAGTCATGATCTCATCCCGCTGCTCTGGCACTCTCGAGCGGAGAGCTGCCCTTTTACTCAAAAATGCCAAGCGCACCACATTCCTCCACACACTGAAAAGTCCCTAATCGCTCAGATACACATGCAAATGGCCTCTGTGCTGTGTCTTGGAGAACAATCAGACAGCACTTAATTATATAATTATGTGACCAGGCCCGACACACTTCAGGATGTTTGTGACCGTGTACAAGGTTTACTCAAACAGAAGGCCGCTCTATTCTGCATGCGAGTAAACACAATGATCTGTGTGATTCTCTGTTTATATCGGTGTTATATACATCAGAGAATATAGCATGCTGCCATTTTGGCCAAGTTGGAAGTTAGCATCGATCTAGTTCTTTGGAAAAAATAAAAACTAATAGCTCTGAAGCTGGTGTAGTTTGTTCATGTTTTGCCAATCAAGATAATCTTTAGACATTTTATACAAACAACTTGTATTATGGTTAAAAATCCAGAAGTAAAAAGATGAAGCCAGGCCATGATCAAACAACTACAAGTTTTAAAGTTTAAGTTAGAATTATTTACAAGATCAGGATTTCTACTACAAACTAATGTATAGATGAGTTTGCTTTTTTGACATGAGTATGTCCAGAACAACATCTCATGTTCCAACTTGTTATCAACTGCTTTTTGTTTTTTTACCCTTTTTCTAGGCCCCAAATTTTGTGCCGCCTGGGCACTTGAACCATTAAAAAAATCCCCACCTGCCAGTCCAACACAATAGCTCTCCTCTCTGAGGCCTTAAGTTGCTCAGCTCAGCGACTTTGAACTGTGCTTTGCTGTGCCCAACCAACTCTCCTGAGCATAGAAAATCTCAATTTAAACTAAAACGGAACACAAGTCTACTAAACCCAAGCAATCTCACCTGGGCCCGGTTTTTCAAAATGTTTAATCCAGATTAAATTTATTCGGATTTAGTAATCCTGTTTTTGCGATCCGTGATCATGTATTCCAGCTACTTTATAAGCCAGTTTTTCACAGCAACATCGGATTGGATCAATCTGATCTGCATAGGAACTTTTCAGGATCACTAAATTTGGATAACCAATGCTCAAACAGGATAGGAAATCACAATGTAGAACTATAGATATGTAAAGAGCAACAAGTAGAATAGCCAGTGTGGGGTCAATATGAGTTTATTTTTATTTGAAATGAAAACACACATTTTAAAAAAGTAAAAACAAGAAATACCTCCCCCCATAGTCTTCCAGCAGAACTACAACACAAACACTACATTGAGGATATTTATAACAAGTTTTAAATATAGATTTTGTGAATTAAAAAAAAGACTTAATGTCAAAAACTCAACAATAATTTCAGACTTCCTCATCTGATGTGGAGAAGGCAGCTTGTCTGAGCGTAGCCTTTAGGAGGCGGATCTCAAGTCTGGCCTTGGTTTGCTGCAATTTGGTCAGAGTCAGTTGTTCCTCTGCCAGTTGAAGCTGTGCTTCTTCACTTTCAACAATTGCAAAAAGAGACTAAAAGGGATTTAAAAAATCAGTCATTGCCATTCTTTGCAGTTTTTTTTTTGGTTATTCTGTAATCATTGCGTGCATCACTAATAAATATTCTAAAAACAAAAATATTTTCCATTGTGATGAATATATATATCAATTAGTGACAGAATAAAATGTATTGTTTTGGTAAATTTTGACAGCTGTTTGGGGTATTATTTTATGAGGCCAAACTCTTTCTATTTTGCTGTAGGCCTATACTGAAAGGCTGAATACGTTAAAGCCTACATAATCACTGTAACCTGACAGATTACCAAATACAATTAAAACCTAATTAATTAATAGGATATATTGTAAGTTATTGCATGATCCAAATATAGTATTATTTGATACATTTTTAAAGCTTTTATTACATTTTGGGCATGAAATCCTTGCTGAATCCACCCTTCTG